GATTCACTGCCTTGAATTCAGCAGAAAACATACTAGATCCTGCAGTGGAACTGCATGGGTTCAGCTGTTTCTGGAAAGAACCCTGAGGTGCTATAGGATTTTCTTTGTAGGAAATACCATATTGTTGCCATTTGCAGATCAGGAAGAGGCTTAGCAGAGATTTCATTTGCTAACACACAGTCTTAAGGTCTGACACTCTGTTGGGTGGCAGCAATTTAAAGAGACTGAACTTTCAGATATACAGACTCTGGAAACCCATGCTGGTTTTCTCATTTGCATGGATATGACAAGGCAATACCTGGAGTGGCTGAATGCCAGAAACAATGTGATCTGCGATCATTCTGACTTGGGCCTTCTTCTTTGGATCTTGGGGCAGGAGCCTGGGGTTAGGACGGGTGTCTTCTAGATAATGAATTATAGCTAGCTGTAATGAACAAAGAGATAAGGGGGGGTTATTGGAGAGCCAAGGAAACGTTCACATCCTGAACTCATAGGAAAGGGGAGTTGATCCAAGAGAATACAACAGCTTTTTAATGAAGTTTGTTACGAATCCAAGCAACAGAATATCCCCTTCAATGTCTGCTTGGGACCTTGTTGTCATTTAGCCCAGCTGTAATTTCAGGCAAACCCTGGCACAGCCATCTAAGTCAGACTACAAACTTCTCAGTGAAAGGTGGAGTTATACATCAAAGCTGAACTGAGCTTAAATCCTTGAGAGCAGTTTCCCAGTGGAGGCTATGTGGTATTTCTGCCCTCAAGTGGGATTTGTTTATCACAAATGCCATCTCTTTTCCAATGCACAGATAAGAGCTCTGGGGGAAGGGATGCAGCAAAGCTATCCCCTCCAGCCTGGCAGCAAGCTGGAGTGAATGGTTAACCAGGATGTGGCTGGTAACTCACCGACTGAGAAAGGGTGATGCCATCAATTTTCAAGGCTGGGACTTGCTGCATTGGATTCACTGCCTTGAATTCAGCAGAAAACTGTGGAAACAAACCTGAGATTACTCTACTGCAACAAGAAATTATTCTTGCTTTCTTTCCC